TCTCAGCATTTTTGAATTACTTGAGCTACTTTTATTTCTAGTGAGTTTAGTTAGTTTTAAACAATTGCCAATCCCTAAGAAATTCACAGAACAACCAAAAACCTCAAAGATAATCCATCAGGATTCTCGACTATCAACTTTTTACACTTTAATAATATATGAACAATAAGTATTGTTTAAGTTTCCCCAACTAAAACTCAAAGAAAAGCGTCTATTGTGTCCCATCCAGACATACTACAACTTCAATTTTTGCGGAAAAATTAATTAAAAACCCTCCCCCGTGCACACTAATAAAAACTGGCTTAAAGACCTTTTAACCTATAATCTTCGATTAAAGGGCTGAAAACAACAAAACTTCGTGTTCGTCTTTTTGCGGTGTTTTTAGCTCTTTGCTTGTGTTCGAACTAATCAAACTTCCACTTAAAAAATTAAATTTATTATTAACAAAATTAACCAACAAATAATCAAATAAATTAACATTAATTTAGCATTAACCAACCAATATACAAATTGAATGTGCTCTATATATTTGAGCTCGACTTTTTAAGTGACTATAAAATTGCATTTGCTCGATTTGGCAGGCTAATGTAATATATGCTGAGCCTGGATTTATTAATGGTAATTTATTTGGTAAATATTACGCGCATAGGCTCGGTGGTGGTCGGATGACGGCCCCTCGGAATGGGGACCACGGTTTTAATTAGGGGCATTACGTGAATATTGTTATTGGGAATGAAATAAATGAATTATTAAAAATATATGCATAGAGCAAATGTGTACCATTTAAAAGTCAAACTAAATTCAATATGGATAACGAAAAACTTTATGGAAGAAATTATAATTAAAGCTTACATGCAAGAACTGCCCCTGCCTAAATAAGGAGCACTTATCCTTTTGGAAAATATTTTGATTCGTTACAGTTTCAGAAAGATACACTTGTGATTGTGAATTATGAGCTGCAATTCGCGTGCACTGGGGATTTTCTGAATGTGAAATACAAGAATCATTGACGCTGATCGAGGACCTTGTTAATAGGAAATTTAACTTGAAAAGTTTAATCGAAAAAGTGAAAACTTCGAAACCAGGATGGCAACAGTGAAAAATAAGTTAGAAATTATGCAATTCTAAGCGACTATGGCAAAAAGACATTCCAATAGGATTCTGCATGTTATCATGAAAAAAATAATACGTAACCTCATTGAATTTGAATCATAAATAACAAGATTTTCTTACTACAATGTAGACAGAAGGGCATCTCTCCCAATCATATCCAGCATACCTAATGTCAAATGTTTGTATTCGCTTATTAATCATTAAAACACCTTTATACATGAAATTAATTGGCTCACTAACAAGGTAAAAAGTGACATTCTTAATTTACAAATCAAAATTGCTCACCACACCTCAGCGAAATTAAGATCACACATAGAGATAGGGATCAACCAGGTTAGAGGATTTTTAGGTGATCAGGATTATCAAGAATTACTAAGAACTGTTAAAACGAAATGCGAACGTATATTTTCCAACACAAAATTCACACATTGTAACAAATTAGCTACCTAAGTTGATTTCACAACAAAAGAATATCCTAATACTAATAACTCTTGAAAACTGGCTGATTAACCTAAGCACAACAACAATACCACAGTAAGGAATTATTAGCCTTGGGACCATCATTTGCTTTGCCCTATAAAACTAGAGACTCTTCAATGTTTCAGCTCATCAAAGATACTGAATATTGCATCCAGAATCTACCAGGATATCCACCAATATCATCACCAATCACTACAACAGCTTAAAACAGGGAAACAATATGATCAATGCGATAAAAACTATTGTCAAACTAAGAAATTCCCTAAAAATAACCCTAAATTGATAGTGGCTCGTGCGGATAAGGGTAATTGCACTCTTGTGATGGAAAGAATACTATGAGTGTAAAATGAAACTATTGTTAAATGATGATAGCACATATCTAGAATTACCTAACAATCCCACAAACCTTTTCGAAAATAAGTCAAATAAATTTTTGAAAAAATTAGTATCATGTAATGAACTCAGTGAAAAAGTTCATTAGCCATAAATCTATTCCACCAAAAAACTATGGACCACCCAAGACCTACATCCCAAACACAACCCTTAGACCTGTTGTCTCGTGTGTAATGTCACCCACCTATAACATCTCCAGTTTCGTAGCCAAAATTTTGAATAACTTGGTTCCAACGTTTCAATATGTAGTGAATCACTGCTTCAAATTTGTGGAAAAACTTAGAACACACAAATCCAGCTGGATACATTCTTGTTTCTCTTGATGTTCACAAATATTCCCAAATATTTAGTACTAAATCTTATAAAGGGAAAATATTGAGACATTCACTACGATGGAACTTGCGGTTTTTGGTCGAATTGATCGCCTTCATCTTCGAGTCAAGTTATTTCTCCTATAACCACAAATTTTTCGAACCGATTTTTAGTACAGCAACGGGTAACTTGGCTTCATCTATTTTGGCTAACAATGATTATGAATGACCTCCTCATAACTGTCATCCCCAAATTACCCTTTCAACTTCCCTGCTTTTATTTATATCTATTTAGATGATATCATTACAGCCATACTCGACCATAGTGAAGACATAATCTTGAATTTATTTAATGAATTCCATCAAAATCTCCAATTTACCCTTGAAAAAGGGTTGAGGCTACCCTTCCCTGATGTAGTTGTCATCAGAGATGCTGATGACAACCTTACTACTGACTTGTATCAAAAACCAACAGCATCAGGAAGGATTATTAATTTAATTCATCATATAGCATCACACATAAGGTAGCTATTATTAAGTCACTTAAACATAGAAGAAATCTGACCCTCAGTATATAGATGCGAATTTTTTTGAATGAATAAGGTTGTTTTGTGAACAAAATCACTATCCTCTATCTTTAGTAAATACTATTTTGTGTAATAGTGCTAATAGTGTTCCATCTCCTAATCAGGTTCAATCATGTAATGTTAAGTTTTTCAAAATTCCATTGATTCCTGGCTTAAGTAGATAGGTACTAAGTTGTCAAAAATGTTACAAACACAAGATAACATTTGGGTGATTCCTTATACAAACAAGAAAGTAGGTGACTTATTTACTAAAACCACAGACAAAACCGCAATTTGTGATAGATCTAACTTAGTTTATAGGATTGATTGTCTTCATTGTGACAGATTGTATATAGGGGAGACTCAAAAAGATTATATCAACACTAATATGATTGTCAAATTTATTAACATTAATAAAAAAGAAGAAACTGCATAGGCGACTTATCATTTTGACATCAGTGACCATCATTTCGATTTTAACAATCCGTCAGTGTGTATAAGAGAGGAAAACTAGAAAAGGCGAAAAAGTCTGGAAATGGTATTTATCAATAAATATAAAACCCAGGCAGTTAGATAACTATAAAACTAATAATTTAAGAGCCATCTATTGCAATTTGATAAATTTATAATTTGTCGCTTTCTATACAGGGTGTCCGGTAAGTATATGGCATACTCTCGGGAGCGTTTAGTAGGGGTCAAAATAACCCTACTTAGTTCTAAAAAAAAAATCCTAAAGTGCCCCTTAACGGAGATACAGAGCCCCAAAAGAGGCGGTAGACATTTTTGGCTCTAACTTTTGAACCGACTTGTATAATTTAATGAAGTTTTAATATTTTATGTTGGAAATTGGCTATCAAGACTCATAAAATCATCCTACTGTAGATGTTTCACATACTCTGGGAAGTCAGGAACGGACTTGCCACCATATCCATTTTGCCAAATTTTTGACAAGAGTCATTTTACACAGCTGAAAACCGATTTTTTAAATACTTTGGTACTCTACATTTGTTTCGATTAAATCAGCCGTTTCCGAAAAAATTAGGTTTTTGTATAACACCTTCAATCATTTATCTTCGAAATTTATTTAAGAATCAAGTCGATCCTAGATTAAAAAAAAAAACAGGTAGAAGTTGACTTACAAAAAGTACCTGAAAACGACCCTTTTTGCCATAAAAAGGTACTTTTTATAAGTCAACTTCTACCTGTTTTTCTTAATCTAGAATCAACTTAAATTATTAAATAACTTTCTAAGGGAAATGATTGAAGGTGCGTATACAAAAACCTAATTTTTTCGGAAACGGCTGATTTAATCGAAACAAATATAGAGCACCTTTTTTGAAGAGAAATGACCAAAGTATTTAAAAAATCAGTATTCAGGTGTGTAAAATAACTCCTGTCAAAAATTTGGCACAATGAATATGGTGGCAAGTCCGTTTCTGACTTCCCAGACTATGTGAAACATCTGCTGTAGGACGATTTTATGAGTCTTTATGGCCAACATAAAATATCAAAACTTCATTAAATTATACAAGTCGGTTCAAAAGTTAGAGCCAAAAATGTGTATCGCCAAGTACTCTTTTGGGGCTCTGTATCTCCGTTAAGGGGCACTTTGGGAATTTTTTTTTAGAACAAAGTAGGGTTATTTTGACCCCTGCTATATGCTCCCGAGAGTATGCCATATACTTACCAGACACCCTGTATAGTTAATAGTCAAATAATAGATTATACATTATGTAATAACAATTTATAAATCTTCAGGTTAGGTATCACTGTGTTGACTGATAATTATTAATTTGTCATTGTTTTGCTTATATCTCTGTTATCACTTTGTTCTTCTTCTTCTAATTTTTAATTTTTTTTTATATATTTTTTTTTTATATTTTTATATTTTTGTGATTTTGTCTTAGTTCCATCCTAAAATCCTTCAATTTCCTAATGTATATTTTAGCCCTGATGAAGTCCTAAACTTTTGGGCGAAACGTCGGCAAAGACTTAAATAAGCCATATATTTTTCTTGTCCTAACCGACGAATCACCCCCTTCATTTCATAATAAAGAATAAGATCGACACGAGTATACCTCCACAAATGGAATCATAATGAAAGTTATCGCTAGAGCCGTACTTGATTCATCACAAAATGGTCTTTGGAATAAAAGACTTGTTACTGTCAGCCACACCAACAACAGATGGAAACCTAAAAAAAGTTTTAGGAAAGGGGCAACGAGAACTTAATTATTCTACTGGAGGTGACTACACAAAACAACAAAGAGCCAAAGCAAATCCACGAGCAACCCGTAACCCTAGCCTCTCTAATTCCAGGACAGAGCAACAATTAAACAAGGCCCTCACAGAGATCATGGAAGAGGAGTACGAAATCATCACACCAGCCTTAAGGAAGTAGCCAAAACCATCGCCAACTCTATACCTTCCGAGTCGTAGGAGGAAAGTTATTGTACAATCCCAAGAAATGGAGAAAGCGAACAACATCATCTGTCCCAAACCAAAGAAATCTCGTCGCAGAAGAGCAGAAAACTAGAGCCTTATAGATGAAATCCTAGACAGGTCCTAAACACAAGCCTTCTTGAAGGAAATGACGTTCTAATCGATGAGTTATTGGAATCGCAAACATACCACTACTATGACAATCCTCCAACTTGAGAAAGCATACGACACTATGTGGAGGAAGGCTATAAAAGCCAAACCTATTACAGGTGTCCATCACACTCTTATGAAAAACAGAGTACAACAGAAGGGATATTATTAACCATGGACTCTCCTAACGTAGCGTCCTCTCCTCTACACTTTTAAATATTCTTATTCATATGAAGATAGTCCTGAATGCCGACGTTGAAGCCATCTACGCCAAATCCATCAGACCCGAAACCTTCGAGGCCAAGGAAAGTAAAAAATCGGTACTATCATAAATAAAAGTTGAAGTTGGATGAGCGAAAAACCAAGCTCATTGACTCCAACCATAAAAATACTAGATAGAACTGGTACGACCGTAGACTTTGACGAGGTAAAATACTTTGGAACTGTCGCTTCAACTTCAAGGCACATACCAACAAGGTCAGAAAACAGAAGATTTTTCTTCATATCAGAGCAATCCCGCCTAGTCCGTCAAAAAAAAAAATAAAGGAAGCATAGGTACACGAGGCCCATTCTCATGTCCGCAGATTAAAACTGGATCCCAGCCCCAAATGGAAAACTACCATACTCGCCGCCCTGGAAACCAAGTTGCCAATGGTAAGGGTACGAAAATTCTTTAGTTACTAATGAGCAACCATCCCAACCACAGAGTGATCGACCAGGTCCTGCTATAGAACCAATAAACCAGTGAGTCCTTCCTCCCATTTTCAAGATGAGGACTTAAGATAAAGCCCTTCTACAACTTATGTGAATAGTTAACCTGAAGTTTTTAAATAAACTTATGTTACCGAAACCCTTTCTTGCTGGGCACAGGTAGTTGCGTTACGCGAAGCAGTTGGTCAACACCACAAAAACACGCTCTCGAGTATTTTTTTATTGTCTATTGTACTATCACAATAATTTTGTTAAATGAACTATATGTCTTGTCTTGAATAAACTATCTTTAATTTACAGCTCAGGTGCGGGGTGAATTAATGGTGGCTTAGGCAGGGACCTGTCCGTGTTAGGTGTACCTTCCTAAGACCACATACTTTGTGACTGTGTAGTTTCCTGTAGTGCGTCTCAATAATGGGTCTAATGGGATATTCGCGTAGTAGTTGAAGTTCAAGCGGAACTTCAAATGATTCAGACTCTTCTTTTGGAAGATATAAACCCTTATACGGGGGTAAGTTAAAAAGGAACAACGGTGATCCATCCAGAAAGGAAAAGGCGTGCCTCAGAGTACGGATGTAGGCACTGTTGGTGATCGTGGCACTACTCCCCCTCTAACGAACCAGGCTATTTTACAAGAAGTTGAGAGAAATGGAGCCAGTACTTCAACAGAATTGCCTTCTTCTGTAACAGCGACTTCCGTTGATGAGCGTGTTGAACACCTTGAAAAATTATTAGAGCTTTTTGTTAGGCAGGAACCACAAACAGAATTTAGGCGTTTATCTGTCCGAAGTGAGTGCATTCCAGAATTTGATCCTGAGAATGGTAATTTATCGGCCGTAGCTTGGTTAGACAAGATTGACCAAATTCAAAATATTATTAACTGGGATGATGTGACGACAATCTACCAGGTGCAATCTCGATTTAGTGGTATGGCCCGAAATTGGTATAATGGATAGAATAGAAAACATTGATTTCTCAAACTTCTCTTGATCACATTGATTACGCCATGGCGTTAAGGAAAATGATGGGACGGACAAAAGTGAGAGGAGAAACCATGACCAACTATTTCTTCAGTAAGATGGAATTACTAAGCACGTGCCAAATAATTGGGAGAAATGCAGTTTCCTGCATCATTGATGTCCTTACTGAAGTTGGTGTCCAAAATGGCGCAAGAGCAGACCGTTACGTCATGCCAGAAGCTCTGTATCAGGAATATTTGTCGATGTTACGTGACGACAAATTGGACAAATCTGAAACGAGTGCAACTCAAAGAAAAATATCCACCAACAGAATGGAGCGACGCACCAAAGTTAGAAAAGAGCCATATAAAAAAGGCGATATTAAGAATGTACAGTGCTTCAATTGCAAGACAAGGTGGTATTACTAGTCCGATTGTCCAAAACAGAAGATGGGGTTCCCAAAATGTAATTTATTGGGTCACGAAGCCAACAATTGCAAGTGTCAGGAAAATTTAAAAGCCGCTCAGAACAACCACCAAGTAAGTCTTTAATCAATATAGCACAAATACCTTAAATTTGAATGAATCAAACACTTATTATTTCATTGATCGCATAATTATTGGCCATCCTATTAGAGGTTATGTTGATCTGTGGAGCAGTAACTATTAAACAGTCAGATGTAAAGAAGCTGGGTTTACTTTGTGAACCAGCTTCAGCCTGCTTACATGGTTCTGGTGATGGTACTGTGCGCGTAAGCAATAAAGTGACGGCACAGTTAACGGTGGACCTAGCTTCCGTTAAGGTAGAAGCGTTAGTAATCCCTGATAATGTACAAAAAGTCTTTATAATCATAGGACAACCATTATACACAACAAAAATGTTACGGTTGTCACTCATGATTATCAGGTTTGGTTGTTTAATAATAATGAAACTATCTAAACCGTTATACCTTTTCATCATATAGGGCATATTCTAGTATTGAATGATGAAACTCGTAGTGATGTTTTTATTGATAAATATACAGTATAGGAAAACCCCTAATACAGAACATATAATTCCGCGCTATGTGACAAATTTAAATGAAAATTGTTTTATTCCAATATTCAATCCTTCAGATCAGGACTTACGTTACGAAAAGGGTAGGGTAGTAGTTAGGGGCTACACTTGTTATGAAAAAATTAATATCTTTGTTCCTATATTAACAACTGAAGTTACGAAATTCAGAAAATTTACGACTCAAGATATTCAAAACCAAACCAATCCCAAGCTCAATAGTACCGATTTTAAACAGTTATTAACACCTTCTTAATGAATACCGTGATTGTTTTGCCACAAATGTAGACGAGATTGGAAAAACAAAATCCACAGAAATGGCGATATCGCTAACTGATGATATTCCTATTACATATCGCCCTTATCGCATGGCATTTTCTGAGAGGGAAGTCGTACGAAGTATAGCTCACGACCTCATGAAAAATTATATTATCCGTGACTCATCGTCACCTTATGCAAGTTCTCTTCTACTGGTGAAAAAGAAGAATAGTGAGCCGCGCATGTGCATAGATTATAGAGTCTTAAATCGTAAAACGCTGAAAGATAAATACCCATTTTTAAGGATCGACGACCTCCTGGATTCTCTCGAAGGTCACATCTATTTCACGACCCTAGACCTAGCATCTGGATACCATCAGATCCCATTGAATGAAGAATCAATTCCGAAGACTGCGTTTGTAACACCAGATAGACACTACGAGTTCCTGCGAATGCCATTTGGACTTGTAAATGCTCCTGAGGTTTTTCAGAGAACAATAAACCAAGTCTTGGGCTCTTCGCGATTCGAAACAGCTATGGCATATTTAGATGACGTATTAATACCGTCAATATCATTACCAGATGGATTTAAAAAGCTGAAACAGATACTAAATATCTTTAGAGAAGCCGATTTTACACTTAGGTTAAATAAGTGCTATTTCCTTCAAGAGAACATGGAATATTTAGGACATGAAGTATCTAATATCGGAATACGTCCTGGTGTGGATAAAATTGAAACCGTGGCTGAATTTCCAACACTGGCAATATACAACAGGGAGGCTGAAACCGAAGTTCACTGTGACGCCAGCAAAATAGGATTGGGAGCAATACTATTTCAGAAACAAAGCGATAATATTCTGAAACCCATTCAATACTTCAGCCGAGCCACTACTCAAGCCGAATAGAAGTATCATTCCTATGAGTTGGAAACGTTGGCATTAGTGGAGACCTTTAAAAAGTACAGAATTTACCTCATAGGGAGTAAATTTAAAGTTGTTACAGTCTGCAATTCACTCCGCCACACATTAATGAAAAGAGATTTAGCCCCACGTATTGCTAGATGGTAGCTTTCCATGCAGGAGTTCGATTTTGACATCGATTACCGCCCAGGAACCAAAATTGCGCATGTGGATGCTTTGAGCAGAGGTCCAATCCAAAACATTGACATTATAAATGTTAATGTATCCGAGGAGGATTGAGTATTGTCTGCACAACTCCAAGATGAACATTATCGCTACCTAATAGAGGCGCTATCACGAAAACTGTCAGCGTCAGATGATAATGAGACCCAAGTCCAATCCGTAAGAATTATTGCCTACAAGATAACCGCTTATACAGAATTGCAAATGGTAGAGGAAAATGGGTAGTACCGAAATCATCAAGGCAAACTCTCATGATGGGGCTGGCCACTTTGCAATAAACAAAACGTTGGAAGCTGGGCGTGCACGTTATTGGTTTCCAGAAATGAGAAATTATGTGAAAAAATATATACGATCCTGTTTAGGGTGTCTATATAATGAAAGGCCATCTGGTGTGGAAGTCTAAATCCAATCAAAAAATTAAGTGTGCCCCATGGACACACTACACATCGATCACGTTGGACCGTTTGTTACAAGCGTTAGGACAAATGCATATTTGATAGTTGTGGTAGATACATTCACCAAATTCGTATACCTGAAAGCAGTAGCAAGTACAAAAACATTACCAGTGTTACGCTTCCTGGAATACATCATTCACATATTTGGAGTTCCAAGAAGATTGATTTGCGATTGTGACACCAGCGTTTACAAGTAAAAGTTTTACGAACTTTCGTCATTCGTTGGATATTAAACGTGTTCTATGTGCACTTATGATACTTATTTTTAACCAATCAATGTCACACATAAATAGATCACTTACCAGTATGCAGTCTAGTATGTTGCTGGACATGGCTCAATTGTTTGAATCTTCTGTCGCAGTAGGAACATTTGTAAGGCTTCTCGCCGGTATGGACTCGTATGTGCTGGACCAGCTGATGATTGGAACTAAACGATTTGAGGCATTGCTGGCACTGGTGCGGTTTCACTTCGGATCGGCCTCCGAGGTCCCTAGCGTGCATCTGCATTGCCGATTTGTGCATGAAGATCTGAAAATTGATTTCAACCGGTTAGTATTGTCTGGTTCACTTGAGGATGTTGTTGTGTTAGTGAGTGTATTTGAGTATATTTTTTTTTTGAGTGTGAGTGAATAGAAAAGTTTGGCTTTAATAAATCGATTTAATAATAGTCTGGTAAAAACCAGCACTTGTCGCGTTCCAATTAGTACGAAAAAAAAAACTCATCTTCACGGCTGCTCCGTTCGTTTTACAATAATTTCGCTCATTAATTAAAACTTGGGAATTCCGACTTTTAATTTTACTCGTCCAAAAGTCAGGTCGGCCAAAAAGACCTCTAAAAATGACATTTTGAGAGACGAAACGACGATGAGGAGCCGTAGCGCAGAAGAAAAAAAAAAACGAGTTTAATTTCTAATGAAATATTAAAAGTGAAATAATGACGAATTAAAACGAGCACCGGTGAGCTTAGTTGAGAAATTTTCGAATGCCGTGATTAAAAAGGGAGAAAGAATCAGTGGTGGAGATGTACAATTGTAGTTTTCGAAAGGTTTTATTAATGTTTCAAAGTCCGAAGTATGAAAGTTTGAAAAACATTATAATTTAATGTATTTAAGTGTTTTGATGAGAAGTCAAAACGATACTGGTTGTGTTTTATGCATGATATTATGTTCTATGGTCATAACTTACCCAAAATAAGCATGAAAACACTTGGAAATTGTTACAAAGAAGTATGCTTATGTAGGCTCAATTTGAGAAGAACTTGCTCAACAATTTAAGTATTCAAAGTAACTATCTCATTGTTTTGAATACTTTCAAATTTTGGAAATGTCATGTTTGCAAAGTTCTGAAGAAATCTGAATGAGATCTTACACTATAGATTAAAGTTATCAACGACAATTAGGTTAGGTTAAAAGATGAGTGGACTTATTTTGGCCCACCACTACGTCTCATTGATCTTTTGTGGTTCAGGCCAGTACAAGATAGTTCGAAAAGTATTATTCAGTGGTCGTTGGATATAATGTTTTATTTGGACACTCGAATCTGTCCAGCTGGGTCCTCATTCTTGATTCACAGTCTGCACTCAGCATCTTCTGCCACCCGATCTTGTGCATATGGTGTTCGAGCTAAGAGTGTCTAGTATGCATACCGTTTAGGATTTTAGCACAGTACTGCTGAGCTTCAGCTGCTTGCAAACCAACGTTGTTTCACAGGGCCTCTTAAGTATCTGTCATTCCCAGTAGATTTAGCTCATGTTTGTAGACTCTGTTGTATCATCCCGCACCCACTCGTCTTTTCCTGGGCAAGCTAGCATTTAAAGATTCGAGATTTTTTCCCGTGATTTGTCACAAATCCTTATATTCTATTGGTTCGCAAAGGGTCAAGGCAAAGGGTTAGAAGATAATTTGTTTAGAGGCTTTTTTTGAATTTGATAACTGCATCTACCATGTTATTTTGATATAGGTATAATATCCTCAAAAATTAGAAGTTTTCATTCTCCTTCACTGCTTTCTAACTCTCTCCATTCCTTCCAAAAAAGACAAGAAAAACGTCGAAAAAGTGCGATAGCTACACAGCCCATCAGGCTAGTACAAGAAGGCTCATTTCGTAGCTATGAGCGTTAAAGAAACATAAATACTTTCCTCTATTTTTAATCGTTTTAAAACGTTCCTCAGTCCGTGTTCTTCTTAATATAAAGCTCGGGCTTTAATTTCACTTTGGAAATTACACTGTTTTTGGATAAATATTTAATTCTTGTCTGAAAATCCCCGAGATTAATACGAAAAGGTCGAGCTAATTACTCTTGTCATGGAGAAGAAGGAGTTTCTTTCATTTTGATTTAGAACTGAACTGATGGTATATTAGAGTTTTCCTAAAAAAATATATACCTTTGATAAAATTATTCTTAAACTTAACGGTTTTTGTTGAAAACTTTCTACCCTAAAATCTAAATAAAACGGTTTAAGTTATGCTTCATTTGACTAGACGCGTGCCCTTTCTGCCTGATTTAACTACCCTTGATGCGTTAAAATTCAAACGTCATGTTTTTCATTGTGGTTTTTCGATTAATTTTACACGACGAGCTTCGATATTTGGAATGAACATTACTATTATCTACACCAGATGCAAAAGCTTCCAAGTAGATTGTATTATGGTTTATTTAACCCAATATTTTGCCTTAGTAAAATTTGGAATATTGTCATCTAACCAATAAAATTAAAACCAAAATTCTTGATGCAATTGTGAAAAATTCCGGGTCTATTCCTACGATCTCGTCGTATCAAAAGGTACCAACCAACTAGCGTTTCTACTTCTATGGGCGCGCATTTTTACCATCTTAACCAGGAAGTGGCTTTAATTGACCCAACCATGTGGATGGATGTATTATTATACCGCGTGTTTTGCAGCAGGAGGAGTGGGTGCAGGTCAACCCGATCAAAGATGTGAAACTTCTTTGGCTCATTTATTTTAAACGCAGTTTAATGAATTGTACTTTACGATTTAGGAACCGTAGTTTATCCCTTCATTATGTTTTTGCTTGTTGCAAGTTTACGCAATACGCGGGTATTGAAATGACCATAGAAGTTTTTCGCAGTTTTAATTTGATTTGTAGTGTTTTACCTTTGTTGTTAATAATAAATACTATCTAATAATACTGCTTCACAGAGTCCCAACCGATTTGCCTGGTCGTGATAACAGCTAAAGTTTATCATTCTTTTCCGACCCTCATTTTATTACCCTCAATTTATAAATTATTGTTACGTTGGCGGTAACGTTAAATGTTTGTTATAAATGTCCAAAAACTTTCGAGGGTAACACTATAATAAGGCGTGAGAAACACCCTTTGGATTTAGGTAGGATCTTCTACCGCCTCCGTGCTGTGGAAGAAGATTGAAGAGTCAGTCATGAGATAACTTTCAGTCAGAAGTCAGCTTTGGTTAGAGACATATTTTTGTAAAAAAATTAAAACAGAAGTTATACGTTATTGTTTTATTACGGTCGGCATTTTGATCGTTATTGGGATCACTATATTGGTCACATTGGTGGGATCATCACAGATTTGTATCGAATATGTGTCTGTTGTGACAGCTGGACACTACGAGTTCCTGCGAATACCATTTGGACTTGTAAATGCTCCTGCGGTTTTTCAGAGAACAATAAACCAAGTCTTGGGCTCTTTGCGATTCGAAACAGCTATGGCATATTTGGTCGACGTATTAATACCGTCAGTATCATTACCATAAGTGCTATTTCCTTCGAGAGAACATAGAATATTTAGGACATGAAGTATCTAATATCGGTATACGTCCTCGAAAAGTTCAGAATTTACCTCATAGGGAGTAAATTTAAAGTTGTTACAGACTTCAATTCACTCCGCCACACATTGATGAAAATATATTTAGTCCCACGTATTGCTAGATCATCATCTTTCTTTCCATGTAGGAGTTCAATTTTGACATCGAATACCGCCCAGGAACCGGAATGGTGCATGTGGCTGCTTTGAGCAGAGGTCCAATCCAAAACATTGACGTTATGAATGTTAATGTATCCGAGGAGGATTGGGGATTGTCTGCAAAACTCCAAGATGAACATTGTCGCTACCTAATAAAGGCGCTAGCACGAAAATCGAAATTATCTTTCATGAAGTGTAAACTATTAGTGTTTCTAGAAATTATTTTTTCTCTGGCTGTAGTTAACGCTATCCCTTGCTATTAACTGTTATTTTGCCCCGTTTGAAAATATATCTGGCATCTGGATAGCATCAGATCCCATTGAAAGAAGAATCAATTCCGAAGACTGCGTTTGTAACACCGGCTGGACACTACGAGTACCTGCGAATGCCATTTGGACTTGTAAATGCTCCTGCGGTTTTTCAGAGAACAATAAACCAAGTCTTGGGCTCTTTGCGATTCGAAACAGCTCTACCGTCAATATCATTACCATAAGTGCTATTTCCTTAAAGAGAACATAGAATATTTAGGACATGAAGTATCTAATATCGGTATACGTCCTCGAAAAAATCAGAATTTACCTCATAGGGAGTAAATTTAAAGTTGTTACAGACTGAAATTCACTCTGCCACACATTAATGAAAAGAGATTTAGTCCCACGTATTCCTAGATCACCATCTTTCTTTCCATGCAGGATTTTGACATCGAATACCGTCCAGGAACCAAAATGGCGCATGTGGATGCTTTGAGCAGAGGTCCAATCCAAAACATTGACGTTATGAATATAAATGTTTCCGAGGAGGATTGGGTATGGTCTGTACAACTCCAAGATGAACATTGTCGCTATCACGAAAACCGAAATTATCTTTCATGAAGTGCCTAGTTAACAACGCTATCCCTTAGTATTAACTGTTATTTTGCCTGTCTGAAAATATATCTATTCTAAGTAAATTAGAAAGTAAAATCTTGAAAAAAAAAACAACCCCATACGACTATTAAAAATGTCAGCACGGCGATGATAAATGCCGTTTGTAGTAGTTAAATATTGCTTTTTTCGCCTTGGTCCCCATAATGTCTTTTTTATCTCTTGGACGGAGACCCGAAAGGGGTAGCAAATGTAAATTATAATTTTAAGTCGTGTTGTCGCTGTTTATTGAGCATAAGATTTGAAAAAAAACTGGGGTAACGAAGTAAAGTGGGGAAAATATAAATTTTAAATGACTCGGAAGAGACTGCCAGAACGAGAGGGGAATCTTTAAAAAAAAAATATGATTTTTTGGTAATGACTTTTGGTTGGCTTAATGCGTTCTTGATTATTTCTTTGGATGTATTTTTTTGGTTTACAAGTTATTTGGAGTAATTCAAATTAGATTCAAATCAACTACTTCTGATTACCTATTCAAAGAATTATGATTTATAAATATTTTTTTCTAGTTGCTCCAAGCCTTAAAGGCATTGCTGAACATGGCTCCTTTTTACCAATATGTAGAAGAAAAAGCAAGAATAGATGCCTATAAGATTTCAGACAAGAAGATGGTGATCTCAGTTGCCATGCACTTACTTATCCTTCAGTCTATAAAG